CCCCCCCCCCCTCCCACTTTCATTCCTTCACTCATGCACTCACCGGTGAAATACTCATAGAAGCTACATCCGGGTACCCCAACGGATACCCTTCCGCCTCGCACTTTTTGGCCGCGGAAGCGTAGGCGGTGAAGGGAAGGCCATTCGTCTGCTTCAGCTCGTACTCTACCAGGTCGCTAGTGACGTTCACGGAAACCAGCGCAACCATCCAATCGGGCCAATTGACCACCGGAAACTCCCGAATGTTGCTCCAGAACGGACCTTTTGTGGTGACGAGAGGGTGGCCGTTGAGCTGCAGAGTGGCTTTGTCGCTAGAGCGTATGGCGTAGGACAAGAGCACCTCTTCGTTGTTATGATGGTCGTACCATCCGAATCTGAGGAAATAGTACAAGAATCTTTTTTTTCGAGGGCGCCCAACCATCAATGTTTTATTTATAGAGGCACCAGCCATCCATGTCCAGGTGCTGTTATAGCCCGAGGCCGTCCAAGTAAACTATGGTAGGTCATGTTGTTCACATTTTACAGGACAGACAAAAAACGGATTTTCTTGAAGCGTTTTGGGTGGATAAACTTCATTTTCATAAGGGAGCCTAATGTCTGTCATGGCATTTGTCGATTCCCTGATGAAAATGAAGTTTTTACACCCAAAACGACGCTTCAAGAAAATCTGTTGTTTTTTTGTTGTTGGTTGTTTTTTTGCCGCTCTTGTAAAATTTGAAAAGCATGACTTACCATAGTTTACTTGGCCGCCCTCGTTTGATTTCGACCACTATTAGCCTAAAAGTGATTGAAGACCTGAGAACAACACCAAGGTCAAGTGAAATTAATTATTGGTTACTTTTAAGGACAAGCGGCTAACCCAGATTTCGGGTATTTTCAGACACCTTGACCTACACCAAAAGCGGGCATTGCTCTAACTATAGGAGAAGTTTGGTTTCATTGGTGTGTATATTTGTTTGGTTATAGAGAAAACTCTCCTTGTCTTTTAAAGAAACTGAACAAGGGGCAAATACTTTACCTTCGATTTTCTTAAAACAGTATTTTACGGGATAGCCTCCTTGTGCTTAAAAGCGACCGATTAGATAATTTCGAGAAATTGAGCAAAAACCTCCTTCGTGAAATACATACGTACAAGTAAGTTTCGATTAGAGGACTTAAATTGACTTTTTGTATAGACTTGACCTTGTTGCATTTAGACTGCGCATCTATGAACAAGAATAACTGGGCGTAGGAACAGAATACCTCTTCGTCGGTGCTATTGATAGATAGTCCTTTGTCGCCGCTTTTGGATGATATGCAGAACTCTATTTTTAGATAAATGTGACTTAACCTTTTTGTTGTTCTCAGATCTTCAATTGTTTCACAACTTGATGTTTAAAAGATTTAAATTATTACTATAATTTTTAGAACGATTCATGGGATATTCCATAAATACGAATTGTGCTACACAAAGTAATCTTGCAGAAAGATATTTGAAGTTGAAAATCTTAAAGTTTGCGTCCAATCTCAGAACTTGGTTAGAGATTGTTCAGCTTTAATAGTAAATTTTTGATGATTTTTTTTAATGAATATAGCAGTCATGTCTTTGAGATGTGAAATACTGAGTCTGTGAAACTTGAGATAAACAACACCAGCTCGGTTGTCACTCAAATAGATACACTTTTAGTACATGAACCACTGAGAGCCTGAATAAAAAGGAAAGATAATGTGAGGTGTGCTGACAAAAAAGTTACTTCTTGATTTAAGGCTTATGGAAATTGATACATCAACTTTACAGGTGGAGCTTGTACAATTTGTAAGTATGGAATAATAAAAGTCATGGTAGGCTTGAAGAAAATGGTATCAAGTGAAAATCTACAAATGTTTATCTGAGTGTTGATTTTTCACCGATATCTCTTTTCTTGGATTGCGAGAAGTAACTCATTATGTCTGCACGCCTCACAAATAGACGAACGAAAAGAGGGCCCAGTCAGAGATGAGGTGGGAAGATGACGGTGGGGAAAGATTGGGCACACGCTCAGGCAGCCAGATAGTTTCATAACAAAGTAAGTGTTGGGTTGGAATCAACAGGGCAAGAGATCAACAGGAAAGCCACGTGGAACCAGGACAAGAGTCCAGAGAATAATAATTATGCAGAAAATGGGAAGACATGGACTAATCGTTATCTCAGAATTACTAAGTAAGTTCTATTTGACATTTTTGGCTGATTCGAGTGTTTCTAATACTATAAGGTCAGAAACCAACTACAATGTTCTACGAGCATACATGAATAAACTCTATCAGAATTGTAAGATTATTGGGAGTCGTTATTAAGATATTCAAAAAGTTTCATTCAAAAAAGCTTGACATGATGTAAAATTCAAGATCTTTGACGTCAAATGTCTCAAAACTAGAGACTGAGCAGATAGAACTTTGTAATTCTGAGGTTGTGCGTGAGATATCAAGAGGCTGGCCCTGGATGGAGAAAAGTGGTAAGTGTTTGTTCGTGACCTATACCCTGGTGCAGGATGAGAAAGGTGTTGATGATGATGATGATGATGATGATGATGATGATGATGATGATGATGATGATGACACAGACCTGTACTCCTTGTTGGTGGCTTTGTCTGTGGGCAGTATAGTCGTCATGGAGAAGTCAGCATCTTCTGACCCGTCCGGTATGATTCTCGTCACTGCCACATCCTGGGAAAGAGGTATGGTATGTGTTTAAAACCCATTTCCACCTGAGTTGTCTGCCTGAGCAGACGCACCCTCCAGTCGCACCCACAAATCTAGGTACCCACACTAAAACTGCAATAACTTTCCCTCCAAACAGCTACAAAATTAGAGGCAATACGGGTACAGAAGTACACGAATGGTAACTCTAACGTAGTTTGTTTTTAGACTTGGAAATAATGGACTGGAGCAAGTTTTATAGAGACAAAGAGAGATTCGGATTATCTCGTAGTCAGGTGGCTGCCTGAATAAGAATATTCTCGTAGGCCGTCAGCAATTTAATGCTCCTGTCAACGCTGTTAGGATATTTAAGAGATGGGACCTCCGAGTTTAACGTCCATCTCCGAAAGGACTGAGCCAGGTTGGAAATTCGTGTAAAGTGCCTTTCCCAAGTACACAACGTCGGACCGTAAAACTCTTACTAAAACTTTTAAAAAACAACTTTAAAGACATGTATCTCGGGAGTATTGATTTGGCGCTTCGCCATCGCACTAAGATAGAAGATGTTTGTTCCGTTCCCGGGAGAGAAGAATGTAAATCTCGTACATCTGTCTGTCTGTGGAGATGTTGACCACATCCCGTGGTCATCTCTTAACTTGGGCCGCCACTGACGGGGCAGCTCATTACAGCCCGCTTCATTTATGATTTAACCCTATCCGTACGCCATGCGGTCATTTTGTACCCCCGGGGTTGTATTCTTCACATTTTAGAATACTTCTAGTACGAATATTTCTTTGAAACTTTCAGTATTTCTCAAAAAAATCATTTTGACAGAATACTATGCAAAGCGTAAGGATCGGATTAACGAGTAAATTTCCTCTTTGGAAAGTGGTGGTACACAGTTCCCCACTTTGTATGGATACGATAGTACAACACGATGTACGCATAGGGTTAAATTGTAATGATTGGGACTTAAGACATCTATGATTACACGCCATGAGGATCGATTTTAAAATTATTTGAGGGAGGGGGGGGGGTTGTTTTGAGCTCAACATTTTTTATGCCCATTAAAAAAATATTCCTGCCTAGATTTTGCTTAAAAACGTCGATCAAAGGCACAAAAATGTAAATTTGCATTTTCAGTTTTGGGAGTCACCAAACTTTGGTGGCCATTTTCTCACCAATGTTACCGCTGACACCAGGTGACCTCACCGCGTTCAATCGCAATCAATTCGACGTCTACTCAAGACAAATGGGTTTTTTTCAATAAGAGTAAGGCTAACTTACCAGATTTAAAATGATACTCATAACTCCATATGCACAAAAACTGACGTGCCTCTGGTTCCACCACGTCTTGGCCAAGATAACATTATTAATAATAATAATTTGTATCATGCAAATTCAGCTTCGAGCCTCAGCTCGGTCCGACGTTGTGCCCTTTGGAAAGGCACTTTACACGAACTTCCCACTTGGCTCGGTCCTATCGGAGACGGAAGTTAAACTAGGAGGTCCCGTCCCTTAAATAACCTAATAGTGTTGATAGGGGCGTTAAACCTATACCATTTCACCATTTTTCAGCTCAACGTATAGCTCAATGCCTTTTAGGATATATATGACTACCCCAGCAGACTTGAAACTATTCTCAAACAATCCTAGTTTCCTGGGAAAGGTTCAAGCTGCTATTTTACAGACGCTAAAACATCAACGTGGTGACAAGATTTTTCGCTGTCTATAGCCGGGTACCCTTTCCAACTTGGATGAAACGGGGAAAGTGTCTGTAGTGTGTCTTTCCGAAAGACACAGCGTTGGTCCTGAGAATCGGAACCCGGAGTCTGCAATTTCACGATTACGAGTCCCGTAGCCTAACAACTATGATAATGTATAATATTATACAGAGATAGAGAGAGAGAGAGAGAGAGAGAGAGAGAGAGAGAGAGAGAGAG